TTCACTCGTGAAGCCATTTATTAAAACCCTATTTTTGTACTTTTTGTTAATGTCGAACGATTACGATGCCGGAGAAGGATTCCCTACTGACCTTATAAAACGAGTTTGCATCCACGGACTGTCCGTCTCATTCGACGATGATATACGCATCGGAACACATTATGTAGGTTATATTGTAAAATATTACGGCTTAATTACCGCAAAGCGATTGCCTTTTCCAGATTTAACCAACGACATGCTCATACTTCACTCGTTAACTTTTAACCGTTTATAATATCGTAATCAACAAGCGGATAATTAAAAATCCTGACCCTACTGATGCTCATCTAAATCAGGGATGACCGACCGTCCTTTTGGGATTACTGGGCCACATCGAAGGAAAAAGGAAAGGCATTTCTTGTTACCGTACAGTTTATAATGAGAAGAGAGGATGAGAAGTAGATAATTTATAAAACAATTGTTGTCATAAGAATTTGCTACGGGCTTGTTAGACACGCATTATTATTGTTTTAATTCTCAAAAGTTCGGAAGAATTTAATTTTCGAATCAAGTTCGAGTTACACACAAAGTACAATAAAAATTATTATGAAGATGATGAAAAGTGCAAAATAAAAAAATACAAATGTCTAATTACCAATTTATTAGTTGAAGGCTGGATCAAGACTCTCGTCTCTCATATTTACAAACAAATATATAATTTAAGATGAGTGGTTGTGTGGGGATAAGGAGGGTGGAAAGGGTGAGTGGTGTAACAACAGTGTGTATCGTACATATGTATCTGTACATAAGCGATTACAAATTTACAAGAATCTATTGCACGAAGACAGAAATAGGTAAAGATAAGGCAGGACAATAGAACCAGAATAAAATGTAAATTTGGGAGTATTGAATCGTATGTCCTGCTGTGTTCAAGTAGAAGAAAGCAATTGTAATTTCATTTTAATGACAGGAAAGTTTGCTATTAGAAAAACCTAATTTCCTATGATACAAACATCTGTTGTGATCCTGAAAGCCTATACAAACAGATTACCTGACTATCGTCTATAATAATAATTTGTTAAATTCAAATATTTATATGATCTGAACAATTATTAATAGAAGTTTGTTGTAGTCGCCCATCATCATCATCATCATCATCATAGGGTATTAAATCCTAAGATCGGTTCTGGTTAATTCTGTGCTAATCTTCGCATTTCCCTAATACTAGAACATCCCACATCCTTAACTATTTGTGAACAGTAATCTAATCTACCGCTACTGTCATCTTAACTCCTGTTTCTGCTTCTAATAGGTCTGTCTTCTATCAAAGAAATTGTTCTTCAAGAGACTTGATGTCACCTTTTCCGTTTCAGTGTTGTTTTTGAATGGTTCCGGTCATAAAATTGATAAATTCACCGAAGTTTCTCGTGGATCTTCTAATTTTCTGTTTCCCTGACAATGCAAACTGGCATATTATTATACATTTCGTTTGTTATCAGGATTTCCCAGACTCACGATAAAAAAACCCTGGACAATCCATTTCTTTCGCCGCTCTGTTTCCATACAAAGTTCAAGTAAGGACTTTTAGCACTTCGTGAATTGCAATACTATGCAAAAACTCACTCTTGGTGTGCTTTTATTTTCGAGTTACTACTTTAAACGGACATATCAATGAATAATGCTAGAAATATTGATAAAAATCCGACATCCCTTGTTGGTAGTGACAACTTTGCAAGCTGATCTGAAACTGAAGTACTATTTCAAAATGAAATTACTTCACTGTAGAGGAATCCTTGTTTGAAATTTTAAAATTTAATGAGAGCTTTTTGTCTTAGCTTTAAATCTATTTACCTTTAACAAATAATATGAAGCTTTTCATTAACTTTTAAGATTGTTAGGTACATTGGAAAAATGTCCAGTTTAAGAATGTTTAATTAGTTCGTGGACTTGTACTTCATTTTTTCGACACAAAACCCTGAATGTATACATCTGATGAAGCTTTTATAGAGGGTCGAAAACCGTAAATCTAATTGTTAGCGTGTTTTGATTACCTTTAATCAACTTAATGATTCTTTTTCCATTAATTCATTTTATTTATTTAATTTGTGGTGTAAACTATGTTCTGCTATCAAAATAGTAGTCTTCATAAATTCAATTTATAACACCAGGTCGTTTATTGATTAACAGCATCGGGAATGATAGGTTGTATGAGATCGTTACGGTGCTCTTATTACAAAAGTGAAATGCTGGGTAAAAGCAACACGTAGGTACTTTTAATCTATAACTAAACGTAATACTGAATATAGTTATTATTTGCTACATTCATTACTGCCTTCTATTTATCAAGGTGCCTGTAATTTTAATACGATTTTAATTTTCCTATCTGGACGGCTGATCTTTCAGTAAAATTATACAGAAATAATGTTATTTAGAAGCTTTTTAATACGTATCTTAGCTCAACGCTCTTGAAAACATATCTTTCTGGAGACTGTCTTAGATCTATTGAATTCCTGCTCTATTCAATAGCCACAAAGAATTATTATTGTTTAGAAACTGGCCGGTATCAGATTAGTTTCTCAGTCTATAAAACCTGTACTATCTAAATTTGATGAAAAACACACTTGACAAATGAAAAATATATTAATTAAGTAATAAAATAACAATGGCAATTAACAATCCACTTACTATTATCCTGCGCCTCCGCTCCACGTCGTAGACAGTCCCGACAAGACATAAATTTTGTGTTTCTATTATGGTCCGTGTCTACCACGTAGGGATAACTACGGTGTGAATTTAGTTCTACAAGTCGATATCGTTATGGTCCTTGTCAAATAATTTCGAATCTCATAAACTGTGGTAATATTCTACAGATGGCGTTCATTACGCTATTTTTAGTAATTCATAAAACGCTGCCTAAAGGTAACTGGCAGAGTTGGTCTGTATTTGTATAACTACCAAAGACGCACTGACCAGACCCAAGAAGGTCGAAATCGCGATCCGAGTCTAACACTTCGACTGTTATGCCTTTTGTTACAATTAATAAATAATGTTGGCAATTTGTAGATAGAAAAGGGACAATAAGTACATGATAGTATCAAGGCGAAGGTTAGGAATGTGATGCATAAAATAAAGGATAATGGAAGGCACATCACACTGAAGACACTAAATAAGGATCTGAAAGTTGTTAATGTTATAATTTATTACATCTATTTCATCATCAATACAAAATTAGTAGATTCATAATGACTATTTGGTCACTCTTCTTCGTAAATGATACTGCAGTTATGAAGCACATGAAAATGCACACTGGCAAGGACTACAAGATACCATCATCGAATAGGCAATTACCTAAATATCAATGTAATAAGAACATAGACAGTTCACTCGATCTACCTAAACCGATTTAATTGTGAGAATGTTGTTCCTTAATGCTCATTCTCTTTTCTTTTGTGATTGTAACTTATATGAGAATGTTTCTAAAGCAAACTAATTCAATATGAAATGTCATTAGTTCGTTGTAAAACGTCGCCGTCTAGATTCAGGCGATCAAAGTAACATACTGCCATGTGGTGCATACCGTGATTTCTATGGTCGTTTAACGTGACTTTTGCTCCTGTGTTCGTTCTCTTGTTCATTTCACCAGTTGTTCTTGGACTCGACTGCTTTTGTCGTTAATTAAACAGAAAATTACACACTTGGTATAAGGATACTTAAGCACAGAGTCGGATTGTGTCTGCAGAATTCAGCGACATCAAAAATCCCCTTGATTCTTGCTTAAAAAGTGTGATATGGCAGTATTCACACTAAGTACATTATACGTTGGCTGGATTTTATAAAATTCTAATAAAAGACTTTGCTATAGTGCCAAAAATGGTAATATCTTGAAACCTTGCGTATGTGGAAAATTTAAGTTGTCTGTAATTAGACAACGTTAAAGGGTCCGATCGAAAATTATCAGACTTTTTTTAGCTTCACCACATTTGGAGTAAATTAAGGGCAAATAAAATTTTTACTGCTCTATTTTGTCTTGAAGCCTGGTCTAACTTATGTTAATTAATTTCCTTTATGGTTCTACAATAATATGGAAAATTTTTATTAACTTTTGACATACCAAATCTGACCGATAAGGAGCTACACATTAACTACATAACGTAAATTGGCAAGGGGTCCTACCGGGCAGTACAGTTCTGCTTTTAGACGACCAATCCGCCGCCCGGTTTGAAAACCGATATGGTTTTACACACGGTTCCGGCGACCGTTGCCGTTTCTAAAGCCGCACTTACATCCGTGCGTTTTGAAAAATAATATAAAATAAGAATAAAACAAAATTCTCAAAGAAAGTCGCTCTTGTGTATTAAGTTTGCATGCGAAAAAGATACAACAAAGTATTAGCAAAAAATTATGGATTCGCCCAGTGGTAGCGGAAGACATTCGAAGCATTTTACGCGTTACTTGGAGTACTGAGGACGAAAGAAGCAAAATTTTTCACTTACATAAGATGTAAATATGTAGGATTATTATCCCACATGTTTCACTAGAAATAAAATTCCTTGTTAGTTGCCCTTTTAGGTTATGGTGTCCTTAGTTAGCAATTGGTTGTTTATTTCCTTGTATGATGTATGCAACTACTAAACATTCATTTACCATTCATTGAATTGAATAGCATCATATAAAAATATGATAAAGTTATAAATTACTCAGTTTATATTGTTACATAATACAATCTATTTTCTGGATAATTCTAATAATTAAATGACGCGCTACTCTAAGCCAATTGAATATACTCACATGGGTATCTATCTCGAATTTCAATTTTTTTGCACTGTTTCTATCACTCGAGAAAGTTAACACCACGCAGCTGTATCGTTTGTTTCTTCTTTTTTTTAGCACGCATTAATATGAAACCAGGTTTCTCTAATGGAATGGCATAATCTCAATCAGATTTTTTATGTAATTTGACACCTTACAAAAAGTATGCTCCGGAATTTTAATTTCTCTTTTTTTTTTTTCTTTCGTTGCAGAATAAAGTCTTGGAAGCGCCTTTCGCACCTCGGGGATGGCCCCTGTCATTGGGCGCGTCAGGAGTACTTATCCATTTGGGGCCACTGAGCGCAACTCTGATACGTAACCGAGACTGTTACTTGTGCATTAGAAACCGGAGCGCGCCTGGACTCGAGCTAGCCTTGGTCTGGCGAAAGTCTGCCCGGATCCATTGCCAAACTCTCGCCGAGTTCAAAGACCCTTTCAAGACGGACGGCATCTCCGCCGGAACCGGCGACATCATCAACATGTGCTCCACTCTGTCCACGCCGATAGACATTGAAAATTGCGCACTCAGCCTCCCAGACGGACCGGAGACTGAACTACCGGAGCTTCTCCAAAATCTTCTGGTTAGTATGCATGCATTTACGTAAAGAACGTTTAGGATTGAATGGAATGTGTAATGGTAATATTGAACGAGGATACGCAAAGCTTTTTGTCCAGTTTATTGTTCAAATCCCTGGAATAAAGTGTAGACCATAACCTCATAGTCGTCACCCTTATACAATGACGTTTGAAGCCTCTTTATTTTGCTATATTTGACATTATCAATATGTAAAATTCTGCCTACCTAGAGATATTGACAGAAAGTTCTTTCTACTAAAATTGATCCTTCGAGCCGGATAAATGTTTAAATCAAGATTTGTTGTTTCCTATCCGAATCGCAATTCGCAAACATAGGTCTGAAAGCATTTTTTGACGATTTATTATAATATTTTGAAAGTTTGGTTTTTTCTAAAATATAATGCAAACGAGGTTCAACCTGACTTTTTGAACGTTTTAATTGGTAACAACCATTCTTTCAACTTCTACATTATCTTGATTTCTCATGGGAAAGTTCTTTGACACGAAATTCCTGTTAATGTTTTGTACCGCACCTGACAATTCAAACCGCTCGAAGTTTCAGTTTCGCTGGTCAATAATATCGACAAAAGTGCACGTATTCTTGCAATAGCCAAAGGGAAACTTTTCATTCGATCTTTCACATTATGTCGGAGAGCTGATTAATGGCTTCCTTTTTTTGAATGCAGGGAGGTCTCCTGTCTATTCAGACAGAAATACCTTGCAAAGATAACGAAACCATTCGAACGTTGACCGCTATTTTGTTCTTTGGGAAATGGAATTCCATTCTGTACACATACGTTGTACGTCAAAGACATGCGTAGGTACGCTTTTTGGGTTACCATATTAATTCAGCGTTATCTTAAGACAGAGCGGGGCCACTTTAGTGTTTTATGTAAAACATTAATGAAAGTACAAGTTAGGTTACTATCAAAAGAAAAATTACCTGTTTATTCATCGAAAAAATACCTAAGTAATCAAGAGCCACTTTAGCACAACTCGTTCGATTTCTCCAGAATCTTCGATAAAATAATTTAATGCGTTGTCATTATTTAGAGTTATTTTTTATGTTTCCTGAAAAGGAAGTTATGAAACTGTCATTAGACAATTGAAATTTGACATAGTTTTAGGATTATGTGACCCACATTGGGATTCTTACCCTTGTGATTTACTCACTACTGTCCCCACGGGCGCGGGATTGACATACGCTCAATTAACGTACGGTACCCGAACCCATCGCTACCAGTTTCTTTCAGGAAGCCCCTCTGGACGAGTAGGGCCTATGTAATCCCCGCCAGGCTTAACAGGCTTGTTGGATAGACTCCACTCGCCCATTGAGGTCCTTTTCCTCTTCCCCAACATGTAGATCGAAACCAATGTCATCCCGAATCCATTCTCTTCATCACTGGTCACATGAAAATTGTGTCTCTCATTTCAGTTACAAGTTTTTCCATTAGGTGGTGTACCTTTGCCTATTTTAACTATTGGATGGATCTAAATCAAGACATGTGTTATTGTTTTCAGGTATCAGTTGAGCACGCCATCGAAAGGGTACCTCTTGATGATTTGGTAATGCCCTGTCCTCACTGCTTAATGTATCTGCCATTAGAAAGGCAGGAAGACACACCAGACGGTGTAACGTGTTCCTGTCAATGTTCCTGTTTCGTACAAGAAGGACCATTACCTTCAATAGTCAAAAAGAAAGACACGTCGATTCAAACGAGCCCCATGTTCGAATTTGCTGGATCGATTCCACACATAGACAGTGACGAGGATGACGAGAGGGATTTGGATAGAAATGGTAAGTGCAACAATTACATTTTAAAAATACTGAGATTGATGTTGTTGCTGACAATAGCAGATCGATGACGAATATTTTAGCCATATATTGGCATCGTATCGACGACATGATTTGCATGGAAAACGTTAATCAATATTAAATTGGACATCATCATTGCTCGTTTCTCCGTATGACTTCAATGAAAAGAGAAATTATTGTGCCCCAAAGAAACCGACATAATTGCATTTATTGTTAGGGAACAAGTAACAATTTACGGGTGATTACTTCTCAGGTGCTTTTTATTTTGTTATTTTTTTATCGATACAACGCCAATCAATTAAATGATGAATGGATTCTCATATTAACGCTTAATATGTTCGCAAAAGTGAGAAGTAAAGAAAGAAGTTAATGTTGTATTTCATACAGTGGCAGTCTGACTGTCGATACTTCACGTTTTTACTTTATGCTTACTCATATTCCGTTGTTGTTGTTGTTATTGTTATCGTACACATTAATGCTAAAAGTTTTGCTGATCATATGGAGATTCAATTATATGTATTTCAAATGCATGGAATATTGATGAGACGTTGTTCTGTTTTGGTTTTTAAGGCAGTGATTTTTATTTTTTATATCTAATACTTAAAGTTATTAATGATATATAAACTATAGGCTCCGGATGTTCCACTCGATGATTTTACCTAAAACATTCGTCAACCCGTCATGTCGTGGTTTTATATTGTTGGGATTTTTTAGAGTAAAGAAAAATTCGAATAGTTAACATGTTCATTTGTATTGGATAAAGAGACAGGCAAAAAGAGTCAAATTAAAGTGAAATCTTAACGTAATAGATATACGTCGGTAAAATTTCATTAAACCTGTTTTTAAATAGAATTTAAACCGGAATGTTTTTACCTTGTCGTTTACAAATAATTATAATTATTGCAATCCACCGAGGAAGTAATTACCATTTTTGTAATTATTTTCATAACAACGTTTCTCACGTTGTTAACGAGTTGTGATGAAGAGTGTATCATGTAAGATTTACCATGTTCATTTTTTTGTCTGCAATTAAGTTAATTTCGAACTGCGTCAGCGAAGATTAGGTTACCACACATGAGGACGCACAGTGGTTCTAATTGATAAAAAGTGCAACTCGAAAAAATAAACAGTAAAATCTTTATCACTTTCCATATTATACATATTATATTTAAAAACTTTAAAAAAAATTAAGTTTGAAAAGGAATAACTATTTTACAAAACGTACGTATGTACATATATAGATACTTTTATATTTGAATAAGGAAATATATTTTTTGAAGTGAAACTTCATTATCGACGGTAGAAAGGAAGTTTACTAGGGTATAAAACCGAATAGTGTAACGTCACGTGTTACAGCGTCACGCGTCACACGCCACGTCTGACCCCTGGTGGATTTGTCCAAAAGGAGTCATTTTAACAGGCTTCAGAAGCTAAATTGATCGCAGGCCGTACTGAATATGTATTGCATATACGTTTGTGTTTGTTTTGGTTTTTTAATTTTTCTCTGCAGTCTTTAACAAAACCAGATCAATATTCCACATTCGTCCGCTCGAAATAAAGTTGTATTTTTCTGATGTTTAGTAATAAGTTAATGCTAGTAATTCAGTAATTGTTCTGATTTGGTATTATTAAAAGGATTTTACTTGTTACACTGAGGCGATTTCTTGTGGCGTTTGTAATGCCTGGTGGCATATACCAAATTTTTATAGTAAGAACCCGAAAAATTATCTCATTATTTCATTTCAATCCTTACATTTACTATCTCATGTTAGTAAATCCTAAGATTTATGCTCTTTTACAGTAGCACGTATAGATAAATGTTTCACCCTGTAAGACAGTATATGTAGGTATAACATGTTTTATCAGTTCGTTGTACTGTGCAACATTCTTGAACAAGTCTGTCAGGTACCGGGGCGAAAATTTGTCGGATCCTACTAGTCGTGAGCCCCAGAAGGGACTCGAATAAACGGACGGGTCAGCGGCGGCAATCTGACCGATCCAGCGCGGCGTGACGCGACGCGGCACGGCGACTTGTTCGTATACCTACGTGGTTTGCTCCACTTACCAGACTTATTCTTTTGTTCATTTTCTGCAATTACGTGCCGTACTGTTTTATTACCTACAAACACATATTGCCAAAGATGGAAACGAAGAATTCCAATTAAAATAATTGTTGGTTTTACGCTTGCCGATCAGAACATGCTTACCATTGTTGACGTGGCATGCGGATGGTTGAATTTTTTCTATAGATAAGAGTCCTGCTTTTCATAATGGAAATGCGTTATTGATAACGGACTTCATCTTACTACTTAACGTTTTATCGATTCTTCCAGTCTTATTCATTAAGGTATTGCAGCCGAATTGTTAAAACAGAAAACTTCGAAAGCTTTTGAAATACCTTTATAAAATTTTCGAACAGAGAATCTTAATTTATGTATAAGCAAAAAAATATAATCAGTGTTTTCCTTGGATCACTTAGCCTAATAGTGGAAAAGTAATATTCCACAGATAATCTTTCATTGTTCTTCTAATCGCTCTTGTTTTCATTTGGTTCGTCTCATCTTTTTCCCTAGGATTCCTAAAAGGAAACTGAAGCGAGCCTACCGACCTAATTTAAAGGGACTGCTCGACTACCAGCATTAATAGCTGGTGGGAATAGAACAACACCCAAAATTTATTTCAGTTGTCCTACTAACTTGGTACTTATCTATTTGTTTCCACATACTTCATCGTGTGTGTAAAACTAAGTGTGATTCCCCGTCTAAAAATAATACTTACGATTAAATTGTTTTGTTTAATTTAAATGGATAATTAATGAATTTTCTAAACATCCTATGTTTATTTCTAGAATAACTAATGAATTTACAAAGAATCTGTCAGACTTTGTTCATTGTTTTCAGCAAGAACATCGCTAATTAGGACTTAACTTTAGCTGCAACTCTTTTTTACTTGCTGTAATTAATCGGAGACAATAAAATTAAATTGACGAGCTTTCGAAGTGGACCAGGTGACCAGGTTAAATAAGTATGCAAGCAAATAATGCTACCTGTATTTACCTACTTTCTTGTTTAGCCAATACCACTGTATCATTACTAATCATCGAAAAGACGGATAATTTATTTTTAATGTTGATATTAATCAACTAATCGCCCTAAGTATTCCTGAATTTTTATAGACGAATTTAAAGATCATTTCTATAAATTCAACGTTGCGTCGCCCGTAACATTTCTTTATTTTATTAAATGTTAACAAAGTAGACTGTGAATAAATTAGTTGTAAACTAGATCTGAAGTTAGGTACTATTCGACAGGATTTCGTTTCAGTTAATATCAGTCAAAGATTCAATTCCTACAAATCCAAAGTTTTTATATTGTTTAGTAATAATTTGTGTTTGCTTAGCTGTGATTTGATAAGTGTTTCTTTCTGTTTTGTGGGCCATAGGTCATTTGATATGCAAGATAGAGATTTTCCACGTTCACCATTAAATAGTTCTTGAATTCCAAATTAATTTTGATTTGAAAGAATTTTTTATCAGGTGTTCAATTTTTCTGTTAATTTCAAAAAAGTGTCAGAGATATCAACGGTGAGTTAAGCGACGAACCCGAATAATATTAATTTTCTTAGCTTTGATTATTGATTAATTTGATTACTGTTTCTTACTATTTTATCGGCCAAAGGTCATTTAACATACAAGATAGAGGTTTTTCGTTTTCACTACTGAATAGTTTCTGAATTTCGAAATAATTTTGGTAGAAAGCAGATGTAAATGTTTACCACCGTACCACTAAACCCGGAGTTACGTACTATTCGTCACGATTTTGTTCCAATTAATATCAGTCAAAGGTTCCTAGATTATATTGTTAAATAATAAAGGTATTGTGTGTTAAATACGCTGATTCTTGTTGGTAGTTTACGATTGAAATTTATACTTTGAGCTTCGAGATTGAATAAATTAAAAGAGGTTATGAATCAGTCATACTATTTCAGTATTCTCAAGAAAGATTTTTGTAATAACAATATGCCACCTATACAAAAATACATATCTATTGAATTATGTATTATTATGTGGTAAATTCCTTCCCCTCTTATTTTAGCTTCAAACAAATGACGAGCTAACGCAACAAAAGAACATCTGGTGATAATTAATTAAACTTACTTACTATGTAGAGGGATTTGAACGATACGTAAAAGCATTTTTATGTTTAGTGTCATTAAATATAGGTATACCTATTTAATAAACCTGTAAGTAATTGAAAAAATGAGTCATAAGTAGGGTTGTCATCTGTAAAACAAGCAATCTATGACGACAGCTAAAACCCCCGAATTTTTGTGTTTAAAACCCGGACTTTTGATGCCGAAAAAATTGTACCTTTACACTAAACGAAATCCTTAACCCCTTCCTTTTCATTATGGTTGAGTTCGACTGTAATTAAGTGTACATTTTCTTTAGCATCATTTATGTATTAGTAATATACTCGTATCTGTTATGGAATTAAAGCAATGAATTATGGTTAGTAACAGCGAATTCGCTTACGATATGTAGACACATACACATGTGTACATGTATTATTTACCTATATGTATATTGTAAAGAACTAGAGGGCAATTTCGAGCAACAGGGAGTAGGCTGTACCGTTGTTAAACAAATAGAGAAAAATCGCTAACGCACTTTTTAGGATCGCCGCGAGTAACGTTGTTTTACGGGCACGGAACGAGCCCTCCGTTGTTTGCATGTTAACGCAATAAAATCTATACCTTATGCCCAGACAAGCAATTAGGCAGTAATGAATATCGGCTTTTTTCGCTTCCACAAACGGCCAGAAACCATAAACAAAACCATAAGCAGCGCGTAAACGTAGTACCGTACGCGCTTCACACAGTTAGATCCGTAATAATAAGTTATTAATTTATCCCACCACCGGTCGTCATATCTACCCACAGACGCGTTATTGTTAATTGCAAGATCGTTTGTAGCGGCTGTA